CCCGGTACCAGGAATCGAACTCACGACCTTGTGCTTGCCAGGCAGGTGCTGTGTCGCTAAGCTAAATCCCCAGCCCCTTGTTTTGTTTTTGAGACAGGGTCTCACCATGTAGTGCAGACTGGCCTTGAACTCACTTACATAGCCCAGGCTGGCCTTGAACTCACAGCGATCCAAGTGCTGGAATAACCCTTGCACCACCATGCCTGGCCCTCCCTTACGGTTTCTTGGTTCGGTGCAGTCTGCATTACTCAGGATTGACCTTTGCACTGAGCTACATCTACAGTGCTTTTCATTGTTTTATTTTGAGACCAGGTCTCACTAGGAGACTAAATTATCCAAGCTAGACTCAAACTCAAGATCCTCCTGCCTCAGCCTTCCAGAGTGCTGGGTTCTGAAATGTCTTGACATATCCCTTTGAGAACTTCAAACACAAGTTATTCCAGGCTCATCTTGTACTTCTCTATCCAGTCTGGAATCACCACTTCCCCTAGGGAATTCTAGTTTCTTTTAGAGGAGAGGCGTTTGGAAACTTAAAGCCCCCGCCAAAAAAAAAATTTAGAAAAAGAAAAACTAAGCTGAGCACTTAGGGAGGTGCTTATTGCTGTTGTGTTCCTGACCCAGGCTCTCGGTAGACAGAGCTCAGGAACGTATGCTTGTACACAAGTATTTACGTCTGTTGATACATATTCAAATCTCAGCTGGCCTGGGCGCCGTCACAAACACCCATCATCACAGCATTTTATGAGGATGAGGCAAGGGGTTTGCAGGTTCAAGTCCTGCCTTGACAATTTAGTGTGATTCTGTTTCAAAATTTTTAAAAGTGGGGCTGAGGCTGCAGCTCCGTGTAAAGACTGTGGGTTCAAGTGAATACCTTAAATTCCAACCCAACACCACAAGATCTATTGTAAATCTCTCCTTTTTTCTACTTAGAGCTCCTTTCTCCAACAATGAAAAATGTTCCCAGGCAGGCACAGTGCCACATACCTGGAGTCCCAGCACTTAGCGAGCTGAAGC